AGGTGGGGATACAGTTTTGGAGTGATTGGTGCAATTATTTAATAAATGTATGGAAGAGGGTAAGGTACCTAGGGATTGGCAGAGAGCATGCATAGTTCCTTTGTATAAAGGCAAAGGGGACAAAAGAGAGTGCAAAAATTATAGGGGGATAAGTCTGTTGAGTATACCTGGTAAAGTGTATGGTAGAGTTATTATTGAAAGAATTAAGAGTAAGACGGAGAATAGGATAGCAGATGAACAAGGAGGCTTTAGGAAAGGTAGGGGATGTGTGGACCAGGTGTTTACAGTGAAACATATAAGTGAACAGTATTTAGATAAGGCTAAAGAGGTCTTTGTGGCATTTATGGATTTGGAAAAGGCGTATGACAGGGTGGATAGGGGGGCAATGTGGCAGATGTTGCAAGTGTATGGTGTAGGAGGTAGGTTACTGAAAGCAGTGAAGAGTTTTTACGAGGATAGTGAGGCTCAAGTTAGAGTATGTAGGAAAGAGGGAAATTTTTTCCCAGTAAAAGTAGGCCTTAGACAAGGATGTGTGATGTCACCGTGGTTGTTTAATATATTTATAGATGGGGTTGTAAGAGAAGTAAATGCGAGGGTCTTGGCAAGAGGCGTGGAGTTAAAAGATAAAGAATCACACACAAAGTGGGAGTTGTCACAGCTGCTCTTTGCTGATGACACTGTGCTCTTGGGAGATTCTGAAGAGAAGTTGCAGAGATTGGTGGATGAATTTGGTAGGGTGTGCAAAAGAAGAAAATTAAAGGTGAATACAGGAAAGAGTAAGGTTATGAGGATAACAAAAAGATTAGGTGATGAAAGATTGAATATCAGATTGGAGGGAGAGAGTATGGAGGAGGTGAACGTATTCAGATATTTGGGAGTGGACGTGTCAGCGGATGGGTCTATGAAAGATGAGGTGAATCATAGAATTGATGAGGGAAAAACAGTGAGTGGTGCACTTAGGAGTCTGTGGAGACAAAGAACTTTGTCCTTGGAGGCAAAGAGGGGAATGTATGAGAGTATAGTTTTACCAACGCTCTTATATGGGTGTGAAGCGTGGGTGATGAATGTTGCAGCGAGGAGAAGGCTGGAGGCAGTGGAGATGTCATGTCTGAGGGCAATGTGTGGTGTGAATATAATGCAGAGAATTCGTAGTTTGGAATTTAGGAGGAGGTGCGGGATTACCAAAACTGTTGTCCAGAGGGCTGAGGAAGGGTTGTTGAGGTGGTTCGGACATGTAGAGAGAATGGAGCGAAACAGAATGACTTCAAGAGTGTATCAGTCTGTAGTGGAAGGAAGGCGGGGTAGGGGTCGGCCTAGGAAGGGTTGGAGGGAGGGGGTAAAGGAGGTTTTGTGTGCGAGGGGCTTGGACTTCCAGCAGGCATGCGTGAGCGTGTTTGATAGGAGTGAATGGAGACAAATGGTTTTTAATACTTGACGTGCTGTTGGAGTGTGAGCAAAGTAACATTTATGAAGGGATTCAGGGAAACCGGCAGGCCGGACTTGAGTCCTGGAGATGGGAAGTACAGTGCCTGCACTCTGAAGGAGGGGTGTTAATGTTGCAGTTTAAAAACTGTAGTGTAAAGCACCCTTCTGGCAAGACAGTGATGGAGTGAATGATGGTGAAAGTTTTTCTTTTTCGGGCCACCCTGCCTTGGTGGGAATCGGCCGGTGTGATAATAAAAAAAAAAAAATAACTGTTAACGTTTTTAGCGCAAAGTGGACAGATGTTATAGCAGTGAGTGAAGACAATATAAAGAGTGGGAAGGTTGGATTGAGATTAGATTGAATTAAGAGCTAAAGAAAGCGTTGCTATAATGTTAGCTGAATAATTATAAAGATAAAGGAAAGGAAAACTTGATTAATTTAATGGACTTAGCTGTTCTGAATAAATGAATAATGTGACATGTGGTTAATAGTCATTATTTTTTGAGTGTGGAAGCAAGATGAGTGTAGAGGAGAAAAACAAATACTGTACAGGGGAATTTTGAGCCTTGTGAGAGAATAATTTTTTTCAGCGTTGAGGAAATCATAGTGATAATGTGAAAGCCACTGTTGTTGGTGTAGTAGGAAAGTTTTGAGTGATGAATGTAAATAACAAACTAAGACATTTAAATGAGTAATACTCATTTATTTAATAGTAGGCAAAATGCGTTTTAAGAAAAGTAAAAAAAAAAAGATACAGAATATGTTACATTACCTTAGCTGGAACAATTCACAACTAGAAACACGGAAGAGGAACCTTCAGACGACGGTCTGGTCTTACCTGAACCTTTACCAAGTTATAGCTGAGAGAAAACATTGGTAGAAAACAAGAAGACAGGTCAGTTTGAGAAGTGAAAAGCCAGAAGACGAGTCAAGCGAAAACAATTCAGAAAACAGCTTAGGTGAATAAAAATTAAGAAAAGAGATCAGGAGAATTACGAAAATCAAGGTCAGGTTAATTCAGGTTAATTCTACTAAGAACGACAAGGATCAACTGCAACAAAACAATGGTAAAGATTCACGACTCGGTAAATCGTAATAACACGAATGTATATAAATCAAAGAATGGGGATTCGAACCCATAGCAAACCAGTCTTAGAAATAGCAAGCCAGGTCTCTAATCATTGCAACATGCTAGCCTAATAATATTCGCCCAACAAGGCGTATTTTTATACATTAAGAAGGTTAGCATGGGCTCCATTGTGACCATATATAGAAGAGGTAATATGAATCTCACACTAAAATGACCGTGGCAAGATCGAGTTGAAATTCTTTCAAAGCAGTTATCAATGACTCGCAAAATCGTATTAACACAATTCTAAACAACCCAGAGAACGGGAAGAGTTCGAACCTATTGCAAGTCAGTCCTAAAACCAACGGGTCAGTATTCCAACCACTGTACCATGCTTACCTAATACGATACATCTCCATCCAGGTGTTATTCTATACACATGAAAGGTCAACAAGGTAGTGATTATATCACTGGCATGCTAGTGTTGGGCCTGGTTCGAATTCTGTCCAATCTATGAATTAAGATTCAAGTTGTTGGTAATGTTGTGAGCGAGGTCCGATTCAACACCAGAACACTTTATAAATGTTAGAAGACGGAGAGATATTTTTGTCAGTAGATTAGCTTAATGGATGTTTAACTTGGGAGAAAAAAGTGCTGTTAGTGAAAGCCTTGCACTAACAATCCTTTAATGAATTTAACGATTTTTTCTTTAGCTTTTGTTAATTTATTTTTCTTTTTGTAAAGCTAATGCTTCATCCAATAAATGTTTCTGTCACTTTACGACTTCGTCGATCACTTGCAATAAAAAGAAGAGAAATTATAATGCTGAATACAATGGGAATACTGACACATTTTAAGTGATAAAGACACAGACAGTAAAGGAAAAAATAATATAAAGAAGAGGATATAAATTTTATACTGAAAACATCATGTCAAAGCAAAACTCAAAGCAATAGAATCAAGTTCAATAAATGCTTATTTATAAAGGACATAGAAAACACGTTTTGCAATTAGACATAGTATACAGACTTGATAATAAGTGAGTAGTATTGTATGTGATTAGAGTATAGATTAAGTCGACTGCAGTTGATCACTTAATTAAGATATAAAAATATATATTCAATGACAAACTTTAAATCCAATGGAGTTTAGTCAAGGGAATGTGTGTTGTATAAGTTTAATTTACAGAAGTAGAGAGTAGCTCCATTCTTTGGATAAGGAGCCTCTTGCTGGCATCAGTAAATGTATGTAAGACATATGAAAGTGTTAGGTACTTTTATTATGAAATGTTTTGCTTACACAGTAGATTTCTTCAGTCGAATGCAGAGGTGACAAATATGGAGACAGAAGAAGCAGTAGAGAGGTTAAGATACTATCAGTCCAACAAGCTTTGAAGCAGTTTTGAGCTGGTCAGTCCATGTGTAGAATAGAGGATGAATGTGGGTGTATGACTGATCAGTTAATTATCAAGTGAAGTAATTAATTGAATCCAGTCCAAGAAACCTGCCATCCCATTCCCAGATAACTGGATTGCTTACTTCCGATTCCACACAGGGTAGTGCATGCCGGTATAGTTGTATCTCTGGTGAACTGAAGGCCAGTGGAAGGTCTTTCATACGTGGGCAGTGCTCAATAACATACATAAAAATTTACATTGAATAGCACCGTCAACAAGCACTTACAGTCGTGAAGTGTGGGGTCTGCAGGTTAACTTCAGTTATGAACACCACGAGATACGTCTTGAGTCAACGATCTACTCCCGGCTTAGCAGACGAGAGACAGCGCCGAGTTGTTACGTTATGTGTCAGTGAAGGGTGGTCTTATTCACGGTGTAATGTAATTAGCGAATGTTAGTGTGCTGCACTGTACTAGGCTAGAATAGGTTAAGTCGCCCTCTTTAACTAGGCTTGTTATAAAAACTCCAGCTCTAAGGGACATTCTGTTACTTGCCATCTTACCTTCCCATGATTTCATTGTCAGGTTTCATCATTAAAGTAGTCTCATAATTTATAGTTGGTAGAAGAATGTGATAATGTCAGATGTAGACATATATATATCATGATATGGCCTACCCACGATTGTCATGATACAATCCTCCCACGTCTGAATTTGGTGAGAAAATGGCATATTAATGCTTGATTTTTCCACAGTCCTCAGCCTGGAGATATTCTCACCTTCATAGCCTGGAACAATGCTATAGGCTGAGGTGACTAACCTCCTCAAACTACTTCATCAGGATTGATGGACTTATCAAATGTGACTTACTTGGTATTATATACCAATTCAAAAGTGGTATTACATACCATTTTTAAATTGGTCAGTGAACCTCTCTTCAGGAAGTCTTTCCCATAGTTTTTATTCTTGTAATTATCCATTTCTACTGTATTTGTCCTGGTCTGAGACAGAGCCATGAAGACAATTTTATACAGAATTATAAAGAGATCACAGATTAAAATGAATGTTTCTTATGTGCATTGTTGGTATCTTAAAGGAACATTGAAATAAATTATTGTGAAAATGTGCTTTATTATGTGCTTTATACTGAGACAAAAAAATAAAAAATTATCGTCCATATCCACCGAAGCTACGACCAAATCCTCCAAAGCCACCACCTATTCCTCCGATCCCACCATAACGCCTGTATCCAGGCTCAGGATCTGCCTCAGCACTCCTCTTTCCATAGTGGTGAAGGCGGCCAACGCCTGTGAATCTTCCAAAGCCACCACTTAATCCACTAATCCCTCCATAATGCCTAAATCCAGGCTCAGGATCTGCCTCAGCATTCCTCTTTCCATAGTGGTGAACACGGCCAGCACCACTGAATCCTCCAAAGCCACCACCAATCCCTCCATAATGCCTAAATCCAGGGTCAGGATCTGCCTCAGCACTCCTTTTTCCATAGTGGTGAACACGGCCAGCACAACTGAATCCTACAAAGCCACCACCAATCCCACCATAATGCCTAAATCCAGGCTCAGGATCTGCCTCAGCACTCCTTTTTCCATAGTGGTGAACGCGGCTAACACCACCGATTCCTCCAAAGCTACCACCAATCCCACCATAATGCCTAAATCCAGGCACAGGATCTGCCTCAGCACTCCTCTTTCCATAGTGGTGAACGCGGCCAACGCCTGTGAATCTTCTAAAGCCCCCACCTAATCCGCCAATCCCACCATAACGCCTAAAGCCAGGCTCAGGATCTGCATCAGCCAGAGCCTCTGCCACAGCACTTCTCTTGCCACGGTAGCCACCAAGTCTTCTGTTGAATCCTCCACCATGACCTCCAAAGTTGCCCGGAAACCTGGGTCAGCTTCCGGAAGAGGTTCAGCACTACCAGTGGCTGCAAGGATGACAAGGGCTGCTGCTGCTGCCTGTATGGGAAAATATTCTTTTTTAGTATAATTTACACATGTGACAATGCTTGAAAATAACAGAGTCACGAGGAGAAATAAAAATAAAAAAAACTAGTGTAAGACTTACCAAGACCTTCATGCTGGTCAGCTTCAGCGTGAACTGTACTGTGAGGAAAAATGACATTCCTTTATACCCCCTGGAGCTGCGAGACGCTCGCCTTCAGGCTGCACTGGGCATGACGTATGAAGGTCTTATGAAGAAATCCTTCTCGACAGCATTAGGACGATATGCATGACTTTTCTGAAAGATTTTAAGCCGATCGACTGTACGAAGTCCATTAAGTCTGTATATCCAGTAAACACAACCAATTAGAAATACTTTAATCTGTAAGAAATGTTTTAAAATAAGATTTCCTTGTACACTCATAGAAAACTGTCTGCGAACTGTATATATCCATTTCCGAATATGACTCCAGTTTATTGGAAATAAATTATATTTTTGAATAAAACATAATGGAAGGAAAATTTTATACAAGTTTTATGCCTTCTTAGCTATATAAATTTTGCAGTGTAATACAAATGTGTACTTTTAATACATACTTCCAATGTGATCTGCTTCTCAGCATAAAATTAACTTGGTACATAATTTTTTATTGCATAGGTATAACCAGCTTATATCTCGCAATCCGTGTAACAGAGGTTCTGATTTTTTTGGTCATATTTTTTTGTTCCTGAACAACGTGCATGTATGACCAGTTGTTTATTCTTGTGTGTATGAATTTACGAGCTTATGAACAAGTATCACAACTGTCAGTAGATTTTGGCTTCTGTCTGATTATTTTCTGTGGACTCTCTTTGCCATCTTCCTCTTTTTTGTTGATAATTAAAATGCAAGTAGTAGTTAGAAGCTTAATTTAAGACAACGTTTCGACTGCCCAGTAGGCTTTTTCAAGACTGATAGAATGTGCTGTTGAAAATGGTATAAATACCGACATGCTGAAGATTCAGACACGTGTGCAACAGTTGGGTATTTTTACTGATGAAACTCTACGCCTACATAGTAGGCTTCTTCAGTCAAATACAAAGGGACCAATAGAAATGAAATAATACTGTCAGACGCTGCAGCACAACTGTATCTTGGTACAGAGGTCATCTTCCATTCTTCATCGCTTATCTACTAGTTATGAGTGAGGAAAATTGGATTCCAGATGGACCTGCCTTCTTACTTCCACTAGTGGATCCCGTCCCTTACAACGTCGTCGAGATCTCCCTCCTGCTTCATCTTCATACCGTTCCAGACCATGGAGCTAAACTCTTCTCCAGGCTGAGGGACTGACCATCTCAAGGCTGATGGACTGGTTGCATCATCTTCATTTCATTTCTTCTGGTCCTTTTATATTTGACTGAGGAAGCCCACTGTGTAGGCGAAACGTTTCATTAATAAAGATGACCAACTGTTGCACGTGTGTCTTAATCTTCAACTGATAGAATGTGCCTGGTTGTAGTACAACATATAGCAATTAGGTGATAGAATTAGGTGATAATATAAAAGTACAGTGAATATAGAGGAGCAGTACAGTCGGTCGAGGAAACTCTCGACTGGTCAATAGCAATACACTGGTTCAACAAAAGATGCCGTCGTGAACCATGCACTACTAAGCGCACTAATACCACTGCTGTTACCACTAACACCCAATGCCACGGCACTTCTCTATATGTTGTTACATATCAATTTTAACTAAGGTGGACATGTAGGCCGTCTGCGGTTCCCCTCTATTCAGTATTTGCTTGACTAGTGTATACATACCTGACTGTTGGTATATATTAACAACAGGTACATTCTATCAGGCTTAGCATGCTGTGCAGGCTAAGCGTCGTCTTAAATAATGTTTCCAAATACTGCTTGAGTGTCTATGAACCACAAAAAAATAAAAGAAATGGCAAAGAGAGTGCGCAAAAAAATCAAAACAAACAGAAACCAGAAACTACTTACATTTAAGACGCATGTTCATAAGTTCGTAAATTCACTTACAAGAATAAACAGCTGTCTTATATTCTCATTGTTAAAGAACAAGACAATATATAAAAATAGAACTGTTATATTGATTTTGGAGTCTGAGCTGGTCATGGTTATTTAGTAAGAAATTAAGTGCCAAGCAGACTTTATGCTGAGAAGCAGCAGAACGTATTTTAAATATGCATTAAAAGGACATGTATATATGACACTGCAAATTTATATAGCTTATATAGCATACAACTAGTATAAAAATTTTCTTCCGTTATGTTTTACCTAAAAAATATTAAGAAGAACTGGCGTCATGTTTGGAAATGGATATATACAGTACACTGATTGCTTCCTGTCTAATTAATTGATTACAGATGAAATCCAGACTTAATGGTCCTTGTACAGCTTAAAATCTTCCAAATCAACCATGTATTTCGTCCTAATATTGTTGAGAAAAATTTCTTCGTAAGACCTTGAATATGTCATGTCCAGAGCTGCCTGGAGGTGAATGTCACGCAGCTCTAGGGGGTATAAAAGGAGCGTCAATTTTTCACACCACAGTTCACGCTGAAGTTCACCAGCATGAAGGTCTTGGTACGTTTTACACTAGTTTTATTCTCATTTTTCCTTATAAATATTTAATCTTCAGACAATATCTCATGTGCATCCTTTACACTAAATAAGAACATTTCTCCATATAGGTAGCAGCAGCAGTCCTTGTCTTACTTGCAGCCACTGGTAGTGCTGAACCTTTCCCGGAAGCTGACCCAGGTTTCCGTGGCAACTTTGGAGGTCATGGTGGAGGATTCAACAGAAGATTTGGTGGCTACCGTGGCAAGAGAAGTGCTGTGGCAGAGGCTCTGGCTGATGCAGATCCTGAGCCTGGCTTTAGGCATTATGGTGGGATTGGTGGTGGCTTTGGAGGATTCACAGTCGTTGGCGCATTCACCACTATGGAAAAAGGAGTGCTGAGGCAGATCCTGAGCCTGGATTTAGGCGTTATGGTGGGATTGGTGGGATTGGTGGTGGCTTTGGAGGATTCAGTGGTCCTGGCCGCGTTCACCACTATGGAAAAAGGAGTGCTGAGCAGATCCTGAGCCTGGATTTAGGCGTTATAGTGGGATTGGTGGGATTGGTGGTGGCTTCGGAGGATTCAGTGGTCCTGGCCGCGTTCACCACTATGGAAAAAGGAGTGCTGAGGCAGATCCTGACCTGGATTTAGGCGTTATGGAGGGATTGGAGGGATTGGTGGTGGCTTTGGAAGGATTCGGTAGTGCTGGCCACGTTCACCACTTTGGATAAAGGAGTGCTGAGGCAGATCCTGAACCTGGATACAGGCGTTATGGAGGGATCAGGGTAACAGGTGGTGGCTTTGGAGAATTTAATCGTAGCTTCGGTGGATATGGACGATAATTTTTTGTCTCAGTATCACTCTGATGAATTCTTATTGAAAAGTTCATAATAAAGCACATTTCCTAAACAAATTATTTCAATGTTCCTTTAAGACACCCAACAATGCACAAAAGGAATACTCATTTTAATCTGAGATATCTCTCTATAATTCTGTATAAAATTGTCTTCATGGCTCTGTCTCAGACCAGGACAAATACAGTAGAAATGGATAATTACAAGAATAAGAACTATGGGAAAGACTTCCTGAAAAGAGGTTCACTGACCAATTTAAAAGTGGTATGTAATACACTTTTTAAATTGGTATGTAATACCACGTAAGTCACATTTGATAAGTCCATCAACCCTGATGAAGTGGTTTGAGAAGGTTAGTCACCTCAGCCTAGAGATGCGTTCAACTTTATGGTCTGGAACATTGCTGAAGGTTATGAAGGTGAGAGCATCTCCAGGCTGAGGACTGACCACCTCACAACTACTTCAAAGCTTGTTGAACTGATCACATCGTCTTTACCTCACCACGACTTCTTCTGTCTCAGTATTAGTCAACTCTGCATTAGTATATGATAATCAAAAGAGGCTAACCAAAGGATATACAGCGTCAACTCTGCAGTTTTGAAGAAATCAATTGTGCAGGGCTAATCATTCTTGAATAAGAAATACTAGCACTTCATATTTCTTAATACTTTCATTGATACAGCGGTAGCTCCTCTATCCAGAAGGAGCTACCTTCTACTTCTGTAGAGGGTAGCTCCCTCTACTTCTGTAGAGGGTAGCTCCCTTTACTTCTGTAGAGGGTAGCTCCCTCTACTTCTGTAGAGGGTAGCTCCCTCTACTTCTGTAGAGGGTAGCTCCCTTACTTTTGTAGAGGGTAGCTCCCTCTACTTCTGTAGAGGGTAGGACCTTCTACTTCTGTAGAGGGTAGCTCCTTCTACTTCTGTAGAGGGTAGCTACCTCTTCTTCTGTAGAGGAACTCCATTTCCTAAACTCCAATGGATTTAGAGCTTGTCATATTATTAAAGAAGGCACTAACATACATAGAGAGAATTACCGAAGTCGACTTTATGTAAACACTAGACAAGGGGAAAAAATATTAACTTCTGCTAACTTCATTACACTCTTGTGTTATCTATCTTGCGTATTTCATCACAATTCTAAATTCTGTGAAAAAAAAGTTAGCATCGTTCTATGCCTAAAGCGCTTGAAGAAAGCCGTGGTTGCCTTTTTTCACTGCATTTCACAAAATGATAAAAAAAAAATTTAATTTGGGTTGCCTGAATGTGTTTGGGTGCACAATGTTTATTAAGAAAGAATCGTGTGTTTACTTTCTGGACGAAAGGAAGTTGGATGTGTTACCAGTGACTGATTGGAAGATAAGAGAAGTAAAAGAGATGGAATGGAAAGGAATTAAAAATATTAAGAAGTAAAGAAACTCGCAATAATATTTGCTCAACTTCTGCGGTAAGAAAAAAATGAGTATAAGTGGTAAATGTAGTATAAAACTGATTATAATGAAAGTGTTTCAGTGTGTGAGGTTGTAAGAGTGATGGGGAGAAAGATAAAATTATAGATGTAAAGTGACTAAGGNACAACTCATGCAGTCAGAAGAAACTTGTAACAGATTATTTCTATCCTGAAGAGGAAGAACCAAGTGAGGATGCGAATATTTACTTCGATATTAATAATTATTATTAATATTAATATTATTAATATTAATATTATTAATATTAATAATAATTAATATTAATAATTATGCAGAAGGTGTGGTAGGAAAGTTAGGGGTGTTAAATATGTACCATGATATTAAATTATTATTATGTTTAGAAACGTTTAGTAAGAGGCTATACACGTTTCCAGAAGAAAATTTTTAATATATAAAGAATAGCAGTTTAAACTCACTTTGAAGAGGAAATCTTAGACAACGTTGAATGTCCGTACTGGATCATTATCAAGAGGAAGCCTTAGACAACGTTGTATGTCCGTACTGGATCATTATCACGTTATAAATGAGAGAATGATAAGCTAGAAATTCAGAAGTCAAGTAGGTACACAGTTTAGGAGGATATCAGAAGAAAAGTAAAATGTAAATGATAGTTTAGGTGAAGAATTTCAGGAGAGCTTCAAAAAAGAAGTAAAGGTGAATAAAATGTTCAAAAACAGGTTAGGAGTAAAATTATTGTTATAGTTATGAGGATGAGTCAAACTACTGGAGGTCACACAGCACCCGGGAAAGGGGAAGCAATCAGCCACGAGCCATGGAAAGGAAGGGTTGCTCACATTCCTTGTATAAAGAGTCGTCCCTTGAAGCTAGGCATCCATTCGAAGTAACATGTGAAGAAAAGATACGATTAGAAAATAAAGGTCAGGTTAAGCCAGGTCAGCAATTGACTATGTATAGAGAAAGGTAAGCAAGAGTAAAAACAGAACAATCCTAAAGATTTATATCAATAATGTTGAGTATAAGGGCCGACTCAACAAGATGGTCTCTGTGGAGGCTAGAAAAGGAATAGATAATGATGGCAGAGGATCAGTTTACAGGATGACACTAACCTTGAGTAAGACATGAAATATACGTTCTTAGTGTCTGCTTGGCACTTAAAATGCTTTAAATGATATTAATGAATTTCTCAGTTTCTCTCTTTCATTTATAGATATTTTGCATTGCTAAGAGCAAGTACCAGGAGTTGCAGTGTGAATTAAAGACTTTAGCGTAAGTGAGTCACAGGGGTGTTACGAAGTACTTTTTCAGTCTCAGGGTAGTAGATGTAGAAGTGGTTGGTGGGAAACTCCATACACGTTTTCAATTGTATGTATGATAAGGCTCAATAGGTCAGAAACCAGTAATGTCGGTCGATGAAACTTGAGAGTCGGGGCCAGGAGCTAAGCCTGGGTGACCCTCGAGTCCAGCAAACACAAATCTGTGAGTGAATGCTCTTCAGCTTCCCTCCTGCCATAAAATTATACAATTCCGTCAAATTAAAGTGCAAAATTAGCCACTAAATAAAGTACATATATTGAAAGTCTTGAGAGTTGACGACCAGTGTTAAGAGGATAAATAGAGCAAATTTTGTCTTTTTTTTTTTTTTGCTATAAATGAGGACTAGATGAGAAACGATTATAACATATAAAATATCTAAAGTAACTGATAGGTCAGACCTTCTCTATCCTACTCGATACTACTAACAACCTAAGCCGATACTACTGACCACCTAAACCGATACTACTTACAACCTAAACCGATACTTACAACCTAAACCGATACTACTGACAACCTAAACCGATACTACTGACAACCTAAACCGATATTACTGACCACCTAAACCGATACTACTGACCACCTAAACCGATACTACTGACCACCTAAACCGATACTACTGACAACCTAAACCGATCTACTGACCACCTAAACCGATACTACTGACCAACCTAAACGATACTACTGACCACCTAAACAGATACTACTGACCACCTAAACGATACTACTGACAACCTAAACTATGACCACCTAACGTATACTGACAACCTAAACGATACTACTGACAACCTAAATCGATGCTACTGACCACCTAAACACGATACTACTGACCACCTACGTATACGACCACTAAAACCGATACTATGACACTAAACGATATCTCCATGACACCTGAAACGATACTGACTGCAATCCTAAACGATACACTGACACCTGTTACAAAAACGCGATTTCTATAAATGTAGAGATCTCCATGAATATCCGAATAGGACTGCATTTAGAGCATTCACATCTGCTTACTAGGTTTTAAACATGTAGTCAGTACACTAGTCCAATTATCCATTAATAAGTTTATTAATAAAGATAAAGTTGTCTAGGTGGCCAATATCAAAGTAAATCAAAGTAATCAATTTAATATAATATAGGATACAAGTTCCTATACTTCTCTCGTGTACAGTAGTATTGTGCTGAAGGCACATCTCTTTATGGCTTTTAAGTACTGTCTGGTACATTGTCAGCTTTTAAGAACATAATACTAATACGTATATACAAGCGAGTATGTGTGTAAGTGTGTAAGTGCTCTAAGTAGTTCACTGTCTCAAGACTCGACTAGACTTAACCAGTGACTGATTGAAAGTTCTCACATAAACTAACTTCTTGACCAACCTGGCAATCAGAACAGCTTGCTTGAACAGTAAAACGACTGATTCGCCGAACAGGAATATAACAAGCAGCAGCAACACAGAATCAGGAACAAGGAGATAATATAACGACACTAAGTAGGGACCATCAGCAGATCCTCCACAAAAGTCACAAAACTCCCATACTACTGAATCTAAGTTCAGCATAAGAAAATCCCCGACTGTAACAGTACACAGATACCAGCACAAATTAGGTCAGAAGCTACAGCTCAGGACCTGAGTTTCTCAGAGTATCTATGCAACACATAACCTCAGTACAACGTCGAAAATCACTAAGTCTAGGCCATGTTCTGTGAACAGTTACACAGAACCAACAACAAGAAAGCGACAGAGACGATGTTCCAACAAGGGCCAGCAAGGGAGAGCTGGAGAGGCACGTCTTGTTGGAATCATCGTCAACCAAAAAGAGAGCGAGCGAAGGTAAGACAATCTCCTCACCCAGGTGAGGTGTGATCACCCCACCCTGATCACGTGACTCTCCGAGGACTGCTGCTGCCCAGCAACTACAGAGAAGCCAGCAGCGAAACAAGCAGAGTGGTAGTTAGACAAGGCCGTCAGCTACTTAACACTCTCGAGCAATGAACACTGAATAATATATAAATGTTACATCCTACCTAATAATATAACTAAGTCAAATAATAAAATAAAGCAATAAATTTATGATTTAGCAAATATTGCAAATATCAGCAATATAAAATTATATGAACAAGTAATATACATTATATACATTGTGACCCATTCAGGGGTCGCAATACAACCTAAACCGATACTACTGACAACCTAAACCAATACTACTGACAACCTAAGCCGATACTGCTGACCACTTAAACCAATACTACTGACAACCTAAACCGATACTACTGACCACCTAGACCACTTCTACAGACCATCAAAACCGTTAGTACCTACTATCTTACCTCCCATCCTAGGCACTGCTTTATCTCTACGAGTTTCGAGCCAGTGACTAATATTAATTCACAACTGCAATTTTGCACTTGAGTCTACTAACCATTTTGATTATTCATTTCACTGGTCACCAGCATATATATTCTTTATATTGATATGCTCCTTATATGATCATGTTTCATTTGTCAATGTCATTGATAATGTGCACTTGTTATTTGTAGATATAATTGTTGGATAGGAAAAGCATTGTGTTAAACATGACTCACGAAATCGTAATGACACGATTGCAAACAAACCATACGCGGGTGGGGTTAGAACCCGCGGTTAGAAAGTCATAAAACTCCAGACCGACACGTTTGCCACTGAGCCAGCTAGCCACGATAAGATTCATTCAACTAGGTATATTTACACAAGATGGGAAGGTTAGGATAGGCACCACTGTGACAACAAATGCAAGTTTTTACAGACGAATCTCCAGCTAGCGTGGCCGTGACGAACTCTAGCTCAAGTCCCCCCAAAGCCGTCAACATGACGGCTTTGTATACGCAGTAAGGGTTATAAATGTTACTGCGAGGATGAGGTTGGAGGTAGTGAGGTAGTGTTTGATGATAATGTTGGGTGCGAATATTATGCTGAGAATTCGGGGCATTGGGAGTAGAAGTGTGGGGTTACCAAAAGTATTATTCAGAGGGCTAAAAGGGTAATACTTAAGTGGTGTGGACATTTAGAGAGGACTGAAAATATTATAGAATGACTAGGAGGATGTATAAATGTTTGTTGGAGGGAAGGAGGGGAAGGGGTCAACTCAGGAAGGGTTGGAGGAGTATAAGTGATTTAGAGTGCTAGTTGCCTTGTATGAAAAAATAAACTTTTATGAAGGGATTCAGAGAAACCAGTAGGCCGATCTTGAGTCCTGGAGGTTGATAGTAGTGTCTCTTATCTGACGTAGGAGGTGGGAGGGGGGTGTTACAATTCAGAGATCATTCGAACTTATGTCAGCACACTGCGGAAGACAGCGACCGAATGAGTGAAGGTGAAAGTGATTCCTGTACTTCGGGTCACCCTACCTCGCTGGAAGACGGCTGATATGTTAAGAACAGAAGTACGCCCAGGTGGAGCACACGTTTCTCATTTACAGGTAATCTATATTCAGTTAAAATGCGTATATTGGAGGTTCGGGCGATGAAAATAATTGTTTTTATTATATCGAAGGCAATTTTTTTTCACAGGAATAATAAATTACATATGAAAATGATTGCTATTATATTTATCATATTTTAAAGTAATATTGGAAATAAAACGAAGTTATGTATGTTCAGCCGTAGTATCCGTAGCCTCCATATCCTCCTCTGAAGCCTCCGAAGCCACTAAAGCCTCCATAGCCTCCAAAGCTACCGAAACTTAGACCACCAAAGTAGCTGGGGTTGGCATCAGCGCTCCTTTTTCCCCTATAAAATCCATAGGGAAGATATCCTCCACCATAGACTCCGTAGCCTCCAAAACGTCCCAGGTAACCAGGTTCGGCATCTGGGGAAGGTGAAGCAGATGTGGCAGCCAAGCAGAAGGCAGCCATAACGGCAACAATGACCTGTTGGACAAATAAATATTAACAGACGTGCACCTAACATGAACAGTGAAATATAGGAAATTTTCCATACAGTATTTAATATTTTGCTAGTTTTTAGAAAATTATACTTTCCAGATCAAGAGTTTCAAAATATTGATGTATTTTACCAAAATGACCACTATGAATTTAATTTATAAATAACCCGATATTTTTTTTCAGAATATAAGTGACTAAGAGAGCAGGGAGCAACTCACGAAGGTCTTCATTGTTCTGGTGATTCTCAGTGTCGACTGTGTCTAACTTGCAGTTGGCTCCTTTTACACCCTTCAGAAGAGGCACACCCCACACCGTCTTAGTGCTCACGTATTTTCATGGTCACCTGACCGTGAAAATACGTGTGCATAACAAGTTTCGCATAGTAAGTGATGTAGTGGTATAATTTTGTTTGCCTTTTTAATCCCGTTCAATTAGATTGATGAAATATATTTTTACTTGAACATATTTAGAGACTGTCTAGAAGACTGTTCCCGAGGCTCAAAAAATTTGAGCTACGCTGATGGATTAAATGATCTGAATATAAAATAACGGAGAGAGTGAAGTGTCTTAAGAGATATAATTATTACGTACAAGATACTTAGAGACATTTGCACAATATTAAACTGCAGACGATTTAACTTGAGAGTGAACTTAGCACGCACAAAAATATGACGAAGTGCGAAGGAATTCTGACGTACTGAAAATACTGTGAATAAGTCGAACAAGATAAATAAGAAAACATAGTGGAAGAAAATTCCATATTTTTAATTAAACAATAAATATGGTAGACCACGATAAACAGGAGAGTGAGATTAAAGTAGTTAGAATATAGATTATATATAAAGAAAACACAATCGAAGATAACTTGTGAGTTCATAGCGAAAGCGTGTAGCCCACACCTGAACAAACATGTAAGAAAAATTTAGAAGATCGACTGGGTTATCACTAGATTGGTCCTATTTTTAAGAGGAAACTCAATAAATTCTTCAAATGAGGTCCTGATTAGCCGGACTGTGGTGCATACGTTGGGCTGCAGCACCACCAGACAGACCGATCAGGCCAGCAACCTAGGGAGAGGCTGGTCTGGGACCGGGCCACAAGAGGCGAGGTAAATGGAGAGAGGTGAAGGAAATATCCCGAGAATGATTTAGAAATTAATGGTTACCTACTGCCACGTTAATCAAGGAAAAACTACCTGCAGAAGAAAGTTTTCCTGGACGTTTCGCACTGTGAAGAAATCTACAGCGTCGGTTTTAGTATGTGAAGAGGAGTTTGCAGGTTAAGGGAAGTATTGGAGGTAGTGTAGGTTAGAATGGAGTAGGGGAGGTTTTAGCAGTTAGAGTGGAGTAAGTGGAGGAGCAGTGTTAGAGGTTAAAGTGGATGAGTGTTAAAGTAGGTGAATAGGAGAGTGTTAGCAGGTTAGAGTGGAGTAAGTGGAGGGAGTGTTAGCAGGTAGAGTGGAGTAAGTGGAGGCGAGTGTTAACAGGTTAGAGTGGAGTAAGTGGAGGCGAGTGTTAGCAGGTTAGAGTGGAGTAAGTGGAGGCGAGTGTTAGCAGGTTAGAGTGGAGTAAGTGGAGGCGAGTGTTAGCAGGTTAGAGTGGAGTAAGTGGAGGCAGTGTAGAGGTTAGGTGATAAGTGGACGAGTGTTAGCAGTTGAGGGAGAAGTGGAGGCGAGTGTTAGCAGGTAGAGTGGAGTAAGTGGAGGGAGTGTTAGCAGGTTAGAGTGGAGTAAGTGGGAGCGAGTGTTAGCAGGTTAGAGTGGAGTAAGTGGAGGAAGTGTTAGCAGGTTAGAGTGGAGTAAGTGGAGGCGAGTGTTAGCAGGTTAGAGTGGAGTAAGTGGAGGCGAGTGTTAGCAGGTTAGAGTGGAGTAAGTGGGAGCGAGTGTTAGCAGGTTAGAGTGGAGTAAGTGGACGCGAGTGTTAGCAGGTTAGAGTGGAGTAAGTGGAGGCGAGTGTTAGGAGGTTAGAGTGGATAAGTGGAGGCAAGTGTTTAGCAGGTTAGAGTGGAGTAAGTGGGGCGAGTGTTAGCAGGTTAGAGTGGAGTAAGTGGAGGGGAGTGTTAGCAGGTTAGAGTGGAGTAAGTGGAGGGGAGTGTTAGCAGGTTAAAGTGGAGTAAGTGGAGGCAAGTGTTAGCAGATTAAGGCGGAATAAGTGGAGCAAGTGTTACAGGTTAGGAGTGAATAAATGGAGTCAATGTTAGCAGGTTAAAGTGGAGTAAGTGGAGGTAAGTGTTAGCAGGTTAGAGTGGAGACAAATGGTATTGCTAATATATGATATTCAAACTATGAGTGAGCAAAGTGATATAAATAAAAAAATGATTCAGAAAAATAGATGGATCTGAGTTCTGAGAGGAATAAAAAAAATAAATTGTGAAGTTGTTACGGTTTTGTGAGTCACTGAAGCGTTATGTTCATGATGTTTCTGAAGGAAACTGGAAAAATGAGTAATGGAGAATACATGTCATTCTCCTGGTTAGCCTTCCCGAGACGTCACTGGTACTGATACCTGCTGCTGCACTCACTACGGTGAGGAATTAACAAAGTTTTAGTTCGCCTCTTCTGATTTCTTTCAGATCGTCAACAGTAATATTAAACTACACAAATAACAGTGTTTAATAATAACACACACATATGGAGACAGGAAGTCAGGAAGTTAATTTTCTGAGTTTCTACATTTTGAAATTGTGCCATATTCAGCATTTTTGCAGTCGCGTGCATTGAGGACTAAGAGGTTACTTTCTTCGGTACAGAGAATGTGTCCAGAAGACGACACTTCAGAGGAAGTTAATTTGAACATCCAAGAGGCAGGTGATTGGCACTCCCCCACATTAGCCAAACTTAGAAATTGCTTTTATAATATACGAGGTGAAAAAGGCTAAAAACCAATGGTTTTTAAGATTAGAGAGACCAGAACAATGGAACCATAGATAAAAGGTAAATGTTTATGGATGCCAAATAGATGCGAAGAAATTCTTCAGTGTAGATTGAATAACCTTTGAAGAAGTTGTGGAAACAAACTTCATTCATAAACTCAGAACTATATATAATAGATGACAAGTGGCTACGGATCAGTTGCTTAGAAGGTTATGAGTTTAACTACTTATCTTTGAATAAATAAAAATGAATAAATGAAATTATACATTCTGTTTACTCTAACCCCGTTATAAGTTAATTTTAAGGCTGTCTGAAATAGTTTGCATAATAAGGCTTTTTATAAAGTAGATTATATATGTTAATTACTCCCATGTCAATTGCATACTCTACTCCGCTTTATAGAAATAAAGTTGCTTGTGCGTTTGTTCTCATTTCCGTCTTCTTGATATATCTCACATATGATCATCTTATGTGTAATGGTATTTATGTCGTGAAGGAAGAGAAGCATTGTGTGTATAAGGTTAGTTGATATACCTTGTATAACCAGTACGAATTATGAAATGCCAGGAGAACGGTAGGACTTTGGATTAGTTAAGTTTGATACGGGGAAGGATAAGGCAGATGCAGTTCCATCAAGAGATCTTTTTCCGACTGTTAATGTGCCTACCTGGAAGGGGTAAGTATTTACGGACGCTGATTGTTAGTCTCAGGAAGCTCACTATCAGGAACAATGAGTGAAATATGTGAATGGTGGTAGTTGTATTATTTAATTTATTTTCAATTAAGGGTCGTAAAGAGAGATCTGGCCTTATAATTTCGATCCTCGATCTTGAAATTGTTACATGTGTTTTGGTCGCTTACATGTTTATATGTTGGGGAAAATAATATTTGTTCTAGTTCCCTTTTTCAAAATAACACAGGATATATACCCTGAGGGGTTTAAATTTAAAAGCGTATATATACTGAGAGTTTACTAAATTCTATAAAATAAGTATTAAAGTATTCTTGTCTGTTGGTGAAGATTACGTGTAGTCAGTAGGTTTTTAAAGCCCATTAACCAACTAGCCTTTTAAAATATTTACTTTCATTTATTAAAGATGATAACTTTTATGGAGGAATAATAAAAGTTCTTTAAAAAATGCTTGCTATTATATTTATCATGTTTTATGTCGACATTGGAAACAGAATAGAGAGTTGTCAGTTATGTGTGTTCAGCCTCCGTATCCATAGCCTCCGTATCCTCCCGAAGCCTCCGAAGCCACCATAGCCTCCAAAGCCACCAAAGCCACCGTAGCCTCCGTAGCCCAGACCACCTAAGTAACCGGGATCAGCTTCAGGCTTAGCATCGGCCTTAGGGCTGGCATCAGCGCTCCTTTTTCCCCGATAAAATCCATAGGGAGAATATCCACCACCATAGCCTCCGTAGCCTCCGTAGCCTCCGTAGCCTCCGTAGCCGCCATAGCCCCCAAAGCCTCCAAAACCTCCCAGGAAACCAGGCTCAGCATCTGGGGAAGGTGCAGCGCTGGTGGTAGCCAAGCAGAGGGCGGCCAGGACGGCAACAATAACCTGTTGGATAACATAAATGACAATTTACTTGGGATTATAATTAATAGATATGGAGTAAAGTTAAGCAGCGTATTAAAGAAAATTCTATATGCAACGTTTAATATGTTGCTAACCCTCAGAAAATTATCGTATTTTATAGTTTCAAAAGTATTCAGGTCCAGCTTCCATATTTGCCAGCAACAATTAACCACAACAGCTCTTTGAATATAGGAGACCACGAGAGAAAAGAGTAACTTACCAAGGTCTTCATTGTTCCGGTGGTTCTCAGCGTCGACTGTGGCTAGTATGTAGTTGGTTCCTTCTTTTATACTTCTCAGGAGAGGGGCACGCCCACACGGTCTCAGTGATCACGTATTATGAAGGTCAGATAACTATTAATAAAACATAGCAAGTTTAGCATAGTAAGTACACGGTGGAAGGTATCAAAGGTGAACGTGTTACAACCGTCGATTATGCAAATATGTAACACTGAATTTTCTCTGCGTCTACCAACACCTTCAAAAGACCCCTGAGGTGAAAATCCATCGGAGTGAAGTGAGGCTTTTAACCGGCTACTCCACAGGTCCTCCACGTTGTATCCAGTGACCATATGGTTTCTGACATAGGGGACACTATGTTTACAAGACGAAGTGTATATCTTAGTGTATATATGCTGTATTTACTAGAATCACTATTTTAGGGATTAGAAAAAACTCCAAAAAGCACCAAATCAAGCTGGTAAAAAAAGCTTTAGGTTCAAATAATTGACACTAAATTAGTACATGAAATGACTGCTAGAGGAGATTTAACTTGAGAGTGAACTTAGCACGCACAAGAATATGACGAAGTGCGAAGGAATTCAGACGTACTGAAAATACTGTGAATAAGTCGAATAAGATAAATAAGAAAACATAGTGGAAGAAAATTCCATATTTTTAATTAAACAATGAATATGGTAGACCACGATAAACAGCAGTTTACGTTAAGAAATTGGAAAGGAGAGTGAGATCAAAGGAGTTAGAATATAGATTATATATAAAGAAAAAACAATCGAAGATAACTTGTGAGTTCATAGCGCCAGCGTGTAGCCCACACCTGAACAAACATGTAAGAAAAATTTAGAAGATCGACTGGGTTATCACTAGATTGGTCCTATTTTTAAGAGGGAACTCAATAAATTCTTCAAATGAGGTCCTGATTAGCCGGACTGTGGTGCATACGTTGGGCTGCAGCACCACAAGACAGACCGATCAGGTCAGCAACCTAGGGAGAGGCTGGTCTGGGACCGGGCCACAAGAGGCGAGGTAAATGGAGAGAGGTGAAGGAAATATCCCGAGAATTATTTAGAAGTTAATGGTTACCTACTGCCACGTTAATCAAGGAAAGACACCCTGCAGAAGAAAGTTTTTCTGGGACGTTTCGCACTGTGAAGAAATCTACAAAGTCCGTTTTTTCTTTAAGGAATGGGATGGTATGAAGAGGGAGTAGTTAGCTGTTAGGTGGAGTAAGTGGAAGTGCGAGTGTTAGAGGTTTAGATTGGAAAGTGGAGGGAGTGTTAGCAGGTGAGTGGAATAGTGGAGAGCAGCGTTAGAGGTTAGGTGCAGTAAGTGGAGGCGAGTGTTAGCAGGTAAGAGTGGAAGTAAGGGAGGCGAGTGTTTGCAGGTTAGAGTGGAGTAAGTGGAGGCGAGTGTTAGCAGGTTAGAGTGGAGTAAGTGGGAGCGAGTGTTAGTAGGTTAGAGTGGATGTAAGTGGAAGCGAGTGTTAGCAGGTTAGAGTGGAGTATGGAGGGATTGTTACAGGTTAGAGTGGAAATTAAGTGGAGGCGAGGTTAGCAGGTTAGAGTGGAGTAAGTGGAGGCGAGTTTTAGCAGTTAGAGTGGAGTAAGCTGGAGTGAGTGTTAGCAGGTTGAGGTGTGAGTAAGTGGAGGTGAGTGTTAGCAGGTTAGAGTGGAGTAAGTGGAGGTGAGTGTTAGCCGGTTAGAATGAGATAAGTGGAGATGACGTGTGTAGAGGTTTAGAGTGGAGTAAGTGGGGTGAGTGTTAGCAGGTTGAGATGAGTATAGTGGAAGCGAAGAGTTTTAGCGGTTATAGTGGAATAAGTGGAAAGCGAGATTAGCAGGTTAGAGTGAGTAAGGAGGCGAGTGTTAGCAGGTTGAGTTGAGTAGTGGAGGGGAGTTTAAGAGGTTAGAGCGGAGTAAGTTGAGGGGAGTGTTAGCTGGTTAGAGAGGAGTAAGTGGGAGCGAGTGTTAGCAGGTTAGAGTGGAATAAGTGGAAGCGAGTGTTAGCAAGTTAGAGTGGAGTAAGTGGAGGCGAGTGTTAGCAGGTTATAGTGGAATAAGTGGAAGCGAGTGTTAACAGGTTAGAGTTGAGTAAGTGGAGGCGAGTGTTAAGAGGTTAGAGCGGAGTGAAGTGAGGGAGTGTTAGCTGGTTAGAGAGGAGTAAGTGTGAGTGAGTGTTAGCAGGTTAGAGTGGAATAAGTGGAAGCGAGTGTTAGCAAGTTAGAGTGGAGTAAGTGGAGGCGAGTGTTAGAAGGTTAGAGTGGAGTAAGTGGAGGTGAGTGTTAGCAGGTTAGAGTGGAGGAAGTGGAGGCGAGTGTTAGCAGGTTATAGTGGAATAAGTGGAAGCGAGTGTTAGCAGGTTAGAGTTGAGTAAGTGGAGGCGAGTGTTAAGAGGTTAGAGCGGAGTAAGTTGAGGGGAGTGTTAGCTGGTTAGAGAGGAGGAAGTGGAGCGAGTGTTAGCAGGTTAGAGTGGATAGTGGAAGCGAGTGTTAGCAAGTTAGAGTGGAGTAAGTGGAGGCGAGTGTTAGCAAGTTAGAGTGGAGTAAGTGGAGGTGAGTGTTAGCAGGTTAGAGTGGAGAAGTGGAGGCGAGTGTTAGCAGGTTAGAGTGGAGTAAGTGGATCGTAGTGTTAGCAGGTTAGAGTGGAGTAAGTGAACGCGAGTGTTAGCAGGTTAAGTTGAGTAAGTGGAGCAAGTGATAGCAGGTTAAAGTGGAGGTAAGTGGAGGCATGTGTTAGCAGGTTAAGGAGGAATAAATGGAAGTAAGTGTTAGCTGGTTAAAGTGGAGTAAGTGAAGGTAAGCTGTTAGAGGATAAGTGGAGGCAAGTGTTAGCAGGTTAAGTGGAGTAAGTGAGGGGAGTGTTAGCAGGTTAAAGAGGAGTAAGTGGAGGCAGTGTTAGCAGGTTAAAGAGAAATAAATGGAGGAAGTGTTAGTAGGTTAAGTGAAGAAAGTGAGGCAAGTGATAGCAGGTTAAGAGGAATGAATGGGAGGCAAGTGTTAGCAGGTTAAGTAGAGTAAATGGAGGGGAGTGATAGCAGGTTAAAGAGGATAAATGGAGGTAAGTGTTAACAGGTTAAAGTGGAGTAGTGGAGGCAAGTGATAGCAGGTTGAAGAGGAATAAATGGAGGCAAGTGTTAGCAAGTTAAAGTGGAGTAAGTGGAGGGAATGATAGCAGGTTAAAGAGGAATAAATGGAGGTAAGTGTTAGCAGGTTAAAGTGGAGTAAGTGGAGGCAAGTGATAGCAGGTTAAAGAGGAATAAATGGAGGCAAGTGTTAGCAAGTTAAAGTGGAGTAAGTGGAGGGGAGTGATGCAGGTTAAAGAGGATAAATGGAGGTAAGTGTTAGCAGGTTAAAGTGGAGTAAGTTGGAGGCAGTGTTAGCAGGTTAAAGAGGAATAATGGAGGCAAGTGTTTAGCAAGTTAAAGTGAGTAAGTGGAGGGGAGTGATAGAAGGTTAAAGAGGAATAAATGGAGGTAGAGTGTTAATAGTTAAATGGAGTAAGTGGAGGTGAGTGTTAGCAGGTTAAGAGGAGTAAGTGGAGGCAAGTGTTAGCAGGTTAAGTGGAGTAAGTGGAGGCAAGTGTTAGCAGGTTAAGAGGAAGAAATGGAGGTAATGTTTGGAGGTTAAACTGGAGTAAGTGGTGGGTAAGTGTTAGCAGGTTAAGAGGAATAAATGGAGGTAAATGTTAGCAGGTTAAAATGGAGTAAGTGGAGGTAAGTGTTAGCAGGTTAAGGCGGAGTAAGTTGAGGCAAGTGTTAGCAGATTAAGGCGGAGTAAGTGGAGGCAAGTGTTAACAGGTTAGGAGGAATAAATGGAGGTAAATGTTAGCAGGTTAAAGTGGAGTAAGTGGAGTCAAGTGATAGCAGGTTAAAGTGGAGTAAGTGGAGGTAAGTGTTAGCAGGTTAGAGTGGAGACAAATGGTATTGCTAATATATGATATTCAAACTATGAGTGAGCAAAGTGATATAAATAAAAAAATGATTCAGAAAAATAGATGGATCTGAGTTCTGAGAGGAATAAAAAAAATAAATTGTGAAGTTGTTACGGTTTTGTGAGTCACTGAAGCGTTATGTTCATGATGTTTCTGAAGGAAACTGGAAAAATGAGTAATGGAGAATACATGTCATTCTCCTGGTTAGCCTTCCCGAGACGTCGCTGGTACTGATACCTGCTGCTGCACTCACCACGTTGTAGGAATTAACAAAGTTTTAGTTCGCCTCTTCTGATTTCTCTCAGATCTTCAACGATAATATTAAACTACATGAATAACTAAAGAAATTGTAATGGATACCTGTCAGTGTTTATAATAACACACACTTATGGATACAGAAACTCAGGAAATTAATTTTCTGAGTTTCTACATTTTCAAATTGTGCCACATTCAGCATTTTTGCAGTCGCGTGCATTGAGGACTAAGAGGTTACTTTCTTCGGTACAGAGAATGTGTCTAGAAGACGACTCTTCAGAGGAAGTTAATTTGAACATCCAAGAGGCAGATGATTGGGACTCCCCCACATTAGCCAAACTTAGAAATTGCTTTTATAACATACGAGGTGAAAGAAAGGCTAAAAACCAATGGTGTTTAAGATTAGAGAGACCAGAACAATGGAACCATAGATAAAAGGTAAATGTTTATGGGAGCCGCAGAGATGCGAAGAAATTCTTCAGTGTAGATTGGATAACCTTTGAAGAAGTTGTGGAAACAAACTTCATTCATAAACTCAGAACTATATATAATAGATGAGAAGTGGCTACGGATCAGTTGCTTAGAAGGTTATGAGTTTAACTACTTATCTTTGAATAAATAAAAATGAATAAATGAAATTATACATCCTGTTTACTCTAACCCCGTTATAAGTTAATTTTAAGGCTGTCTGAAATACTTTGCATAACAAGACTTTTTATGAAGTAGATTATATATGTTAATTACTCCCATGTCAACTGCATACTCTACTCCGCTTTATAGAAATAAAGTTGCTTGTGCGTTTGTTCTCATTTCCGTCTTCTTGATATATCTCACATATGATCATCTTATGTGTAATGGTATTTATGTCGTGAAGGAAGAGAAGCATTGTGTGTATAAGGTTAGTTGATATACCTTGTATAACCAGTACGAATTATGAAATGCCAGGAGAACGGTAGGACTTTGGATTAGTTAAGTTTGGTACGGGGAAGGATAAGGCAGATGCAGTTCCGTCAAGAGATCTTTTTCCGACTGTTAATGTACCTACCTGGAAGGGGTAAGTATTTACGGACGCTGATTGTTAGTCTCAGGAAGCTTACTATCAGGAACAATGAGTGAAATATGTGAATGGTGGTAGTTGTATTATTTAATTTATTTTCAATTAAGGGTCGTAAAGAGAGATCTGGCCTTATAATTTCGATCCTCGATCTTGAAATTGTTACATGTGTTTTGGTCGCTTACATGTTTATATGTTGGGGAAAATAATATTTGTTCTAGTTCCTTTTTTCAAAATAACACAGGATATATACCCTGAGGGGTTTAAATTTAAAAGCGTATATATACTGAGAGTTTAATATATTCTTTAAAATAAGTATTAAAGTATTCTTGTCTGTTGGTGAAGATTACGTGTAGTCAGTAGGTTTTTAAAGCCCATTAACCATCTAGCCTTTTAAAATATTTACTTTCATTTATTAAAGATGATAACTTTTATGGAGGAACAATAAAAGTTTTTTAAAAAATGCTTGCTATTATATTTATCATGTTTTATATCGACATTGGAAACAGAATAGAGAGTTGTCAGTTATGTGTGTTCAGCCTCCGTATCCATAGCCTCCGTATCCTCTCCCGAAGCCTCCGAAGCCACCATAGCCTCCAAAGCCACCAAAGCCACCGTAGCCTCCGTAGCCCAGACCACCTAAGTAACCGGGATCAGCTTCAGGCTTAGCGTCGGCCTTAGGGCTGGCATCAGCGCTCCTTTTTCCCCGATAAAATCCATAGGGAGAATATCCACCACCATAGCCTCCGTAGCCTCCGTAGCCTCCGTAGCCTCCGTAGCCACCATAGCCCCCAAAGCCTCCAAAACCTCCCAGGAAACCAGGCTCAGCATCTGGGGAAGGTGCAGCGCTGGTGGTAGCCAAGCAGAGGGCGGCCAGGACGGCAACAATAACCTGTTGGATGACATAAATGACAATTTACTTGTGATTGTAATTAACAGATATGGATTAAAGTTAAGCAGTGTATTAAAGAAAATTCTATATGCAATGTTTAATATATTGCTAACCCTCAGAAAATTATCGTATTTTATAGTTTCAAAAGTATTCAGGTCCAGCTTCCATATTTGCCAGCAACAATTAACCACAACAACTCTTTGAATATAGGAGGCCACGAGAGAAAAGAGTAACTTACCAAGGTCTTCATTGTTCCGGTGGTTCTCAGCGTCGACTGTGGCTAGTATGTAGTTGGTTCCTTCTTTTATACTTCTCAGGAGAGGGGCACGCCCACACAGTCTCAGTGATCACGTATTATGAAGGTCAGATAACTATTAATAAAACATAGCAAGTTTAGCATAGCAAGTACACGTTGCAAGGTATCAAAGGTGAACGTGTTACATCCGTCGATTATGCAAATATGTAACACTGAATTTTCTCTGCGTCTACCAACACCTTCAAAAGACCCCTGAGGTGAAAATCCATCGGAGTGAAGTGAGGCTTTTAACCAGCTACTCCACAGGTCCTCCACGATGTATCCAGTGACCATATGGTATCCGACATAGGGGACACTATGTTTACAAGACGAAGTGTATATCTTAGTGTATATATGCTGTATTTACTAGAATCACTATTTTAGGGATTAGAATAAACTCCAGCAGCACCAAATCAAGCTGGTTAAAAAAAAGCTTAAGCTTCAAATAATTGTCGCCAAATTAGTACAAGTAATGAATGGCAGAGGAGATTTAACTTGAGAGTGAACTTAGCATGCACAAAAATATGACGAAGTGCGAAGGAATTCAGACGTACTGAAAATACTGTGAATAAGTCGAATAAGATAAATAAGAAAACATAGAGGAAGAAAATTCCATATTTTTAATAAAACAATAAATATGGTAGACCACGTTAATCAGCAGTTTACGTTAAGAAATTGGAAAGGAGAGTAAGATCAAAGGAGTTAGAATATAGATTATATATATAGAAAAAACAATCGAAGTTAACTTGTGAGTTCATAGCGAAAGCGTGTAGCCCACACCTGAACAAACATGTAAGAAAAATTTAGAAGATCGACTGGGTTATCACTAGATTGGTCCTATTTTTAAGAGGGAACTCAATAAATTCTTCAAATGAGGTCCTGATTAGCCGGACTGTGGTGCATACGTTGGTCTGCAGCACCACCAGACAGACCTTTCAGGGCAGCAACCTAGGGAGAGGCTGGTCTGGGACCGGGCCACAAGAGGCCAGGTAAATGGAGAGAGGTGAAGGAAATATCCCGAGAATGATTTAGAAGTTAATGGTTACCTACTGCCACGTTAATCAAGGAAAAACTACCTGCAGTAGAAAGTTTTCCTGGGACGTTTCTCACTGTGAAGAAATCTACAGCGTCCGTTTTTCTTTAAGGAATGGGATGGGTGTGAAGAAGGCGAGTGTTAACAGGCTAGAGTGGAGTAAGTGGAGGCGAGTGTTAGCAGGTTAGAGTGGAGTAAGTGGAGGAGAGTGTTAGCAGGTTAGAGTGGAGTAAGTGGAGGAGAGTGTCAGCAGGTTAGAGTGGAGTAAATGGAGGCGAGTGTTAGCAGGTTAGAGTGGAGTAAGTGGAGGTGAGTGTTAGCAGGTTAGAGTGGAGTAAGTGGAGGTAAGTGTTAGCAGGTTAGAGTGGAGTAAGTGGAGGCGAGTGTTAGCAAGCTAGAGTGGAGTAAGTGGAGGCGAGTGTTGGCAGGTTAGAGTGGAGTAAATGGAGGCGAGTGTTAGCAGGTTAGAGTGGAATAAGTGGAAGCGAGTGTTCGCAGGTTAGAGTGGAGTAAGTGGAGGTGAGTGTTAGCAGGTTAGAGTGGAGTAAGTGGAGGCGAGTGTTAGCAGGTTAGAGTGGAGTAAGTGGAGGCGAGTGTTAGCAGGTTAGAGTGGAGTAAGTGGAAGCGAGTGTTAGCATAACGGTTAGAGTGGAATAAGTGGAAGCGAGTGTTAGCAGGTTAGAGTGGAGTAAGTGGACTCGAGTGTTAGCAGGTTAGAGTGGAGTAAGTGGAGGCGAGTGTTAGCAGGTTAGAGTGGAGTAAGTGGAGTCGAGTGTTAGCAGGTTAGAGTGGAGTAAGTGGAGGAGTGTTAGCAGGTTAGAGTGGAGTAAGTGGAGGCAAGTGAAAGCAGGTTAGAGTGGAGTAAGTGGATGCAAGTGTTAGCAGGTTAGAGTGGAGTAAGTGGACGCGAGTGTTAGCAGGTTAGAGTGAAGTGGACGCGAGTGTTAGCAGGTTAAAGTGTAGTAAGTGGAGACAAGTGATATCAGGTTAAAGTGGATTAAGTGGAGGCAAGTGTTAGCAGGTTAAAGAGGAATAAATGGAGGTAAGTGTTAGCAGGTTAAAGTGGAGTAAGTGAAGGTAAGTGTTAGCAGGTTAAAGTGGAGGCAAGTGTTAGCAGGTTAAAGTGGAGTAAAGTGAGGGAGTGTTAGCCCTGTTAAAGATGGAGTAAGTGGAGTGCAAGTGATAGCAGGTTGAAGAGAAATAAATTGAGGCAAGTGTTAGCAGGTTAAAGTGAAGTAAGTGGAGGCAAGTGATAGCTGGTTAAAGAGGAATAAATATAGACAAATGTTAGCAAGTTAAAGTGGAGTAAATGGAGGGGAGTGATAGCAGGTTAAAGAGGAATAAATGGAGGCAAGTGTTAGCAAGTTAAAGTGGAGTAAGTGGAAGAGAGTGATAGCAGGTTAAAGAGGAATAAATGGAGGTAAGTGTTAACAGGCTAAAGTGGAGTAAGTGGAGGCGAGTGTTAGCAGGTTAAAGAGGAAGTAAGTGAAGCAAGTGTTAGCAGGTTAAAGTGGAGTAAGTGGAGGAGTGTAAGTGTTAAAGGGTAATGAAGAGGTTAGGAAGGTTAAGTGGAGTAAGTGGAGGTAAGTGTTAGCAGGTTAAGAGTGGAGTAAGTGGAGGCAAGTGTTAGCAGGTTAGAGTGAGTAAGTGGAGGGAGTGTTAGCAGGTTAGAGTGGAGTAAGTGGAGGAGTGTTAGCAGGTTAGATGAGTAAGTGGAGGCGAGTGTTAGCAGGTTAAGTGGAGTAAGTGGAGGGAGTGTTAGCAGGTTAGAGTGGAGTAAGTGGAGGAGTGTTAGCAGGTTAAAGTGGAGTAAGTGGAGGCAAGTGTTAGCAGGTTAAAGGCGGAATAAGTTGGAGCATGTGTTAACAGGTTAGGAGGAATAAATAGAGGTAAATGTTAGCAGGTTAAAGTGAGTAAGTGAGAGGTAAGATGTTAGCAGTGTTGAGAGTAGAGAAAAAGGTAGCATAATATATGATATTCAAGTCTGAGTTAAGCAAAGTGATATGAAGTTATTATAAAAATGAATTCAGAAAAATAGATGGAATACTGAGTTCTGAGAGGAATAAAGTAAAAATAAATTGTGAAGTAGTACAGGTTTGAGTGAGTCACTGAGCGTTATGTTCAATGAATTAACTGAAGGAAAGCTGAAAAATGAGTAATGGAGAATACTGTCATTCTCTTTAAAGCCTTGCCAGAACGTCAGGAATGATACTGTCTGAGTTACTGAAGAATTAACAAAGTTTAGTTCGCCTCATTCGATTTCTTTGATCTCAACGATAAAATTAACTCATGAATACTAAAAATTGTAAAGGATACTGTCAAGTGTTTAATATAAACACACATATGGATGACAGAAACTAGAAATTAATTTTTGAGTTTCTACATTTTCAAATTGTGCACATTAGCATTTTTAGAGAGTCGGTGCAAGGGACTAAGAGGTTATTTCTTCGGTACGAGAAGTGTCTAGAAGACGACACTTCAGAGGAGATTAATTTGAACATCAGGGGAGATGAATTGGACTTCCCCACATTAGCCTAAACTTAGAAATTGCTTTATAAATAGAGGTGAAAGAAGGCTACAAACCAATTGGTTTAATATTAGAGAGATCAAAACAATGGAATAAGATAAAGGTAAATGTTTATGGACCGCAGAGATGCGAAGAAATTCTCATGTAGATTGGATACCTTGAAAAGTTTGGAAACAAACTTCATTCATAAATAGAACTATATATAATAGATGACAAGTGGCTACGGATCAGTTGCTTAGAAGGTTATGAGTTTATCTACTTATCTTTGAATAAATAAAAATGAATAAATGAAAGTATACATTCTGTTTACTCTAACCCCATTATAAGTTAATTTTAAGGCTGTCTGAAATAGTTTGCATAATAAGGCTTTTTATAAAGTAGATTATATATGTTAATTACTCCCATGTCAACTGCATACTCTACTCCGCTTTATAGAAATAAAGTTGCTTGTGCGTTTGTTCTCATTTCCGTCTTCTTGATATATCTCACATATGATCATCTTATGTGTAATGGTATTTATGTCGTGAAGGAAGAGAAGCATTGTGTGTATAAGGTTAGTTGATATACCTTGTATAACCAGTACGAATTATGAAATGCCAGGAGAACGGTAGGACTTTGGATTAGTTAAGTTTGATACGGGGAAGAATAAGGCAGATGCAGTTCCATCAAGAGATCTTCTCCCCCCAGTTAATGTACCTACCTGGAAGGGTAAGTATTTACGGACGCTGATTGTTAGTCTCAGGAAGCTCACTATCAGGAACAATGAGTGAAATATGTGAATGGTGGTAGTTGCATTATTTAATTTATTTTCAATTAAGGGTCGTAAAGAGAGATCTGGCCTTATAATTTCGATCCTCGATCTTGAAATTGTTACATGTGTTTTGGTCGCTTACATGTTTATATGTTGGGGAAAATAATATTTGTTCTAGTTCCTTTTTTCAAAATAACACAGGATATATACCCTGAGGGGTTTAAATTTAAAAGCGTATATATACTGAGAGTTTACTATATTCTATAAAATAAGTATTAAAGTATTCTTGTCTGTTAGTGAAGATTACGTGTATAGTAGTTAAGCCCATTAACAATAGCCTTTTAAAATTACTTTCAAGATGAGAGGAACTTTAGGAACAATAAAGTCTTAAAAATCATGTATTATATTACAGTTACGACATGGAAACAAATAGAGAGTTTCAGTTATGTAGTGTTCAGGACTCCATAATAGCTCGTTCCTCACCCAACCTCGAAGCAATATCAAACACCAAAGCCTCGAGCTCCGTATGCCTCTAGACCACCTAAAACCCGGAAATCCAGCTTCAGGCTCAATCGGCCTATAGGGTGGCTCACGTCTTTTCCGCCTAGTAATCCATAGGGAGAAATTACAACCATAGACCTGTCTTACTCTACATAGCAGCTCAAAACTCAGAACAGGCTCACATCTGGAAGTTTGCAGCTGTGATACAAGCAGAGCCCAGACGGCAACAAAACCATGTTCTAGATAACATAATTGACAATTTCTATGGGATTATAATTAACAGATTGGAGTAATTAAGCACTATTAAGAGAACAATTCATATGAAATCTTAATATGTTGCTAACCTAGAAAATAGAGAATTTTCATATGTTTTTCACAAGATTCAGGTCCACCCGATCATCGCCACGCAACAATTAAGGCCACAAACTCTAGAATATAGGAGCCACAAGAAAAAAACTCGACAATGTGACTTCATTGTCCGGTGTTCTACAGACGTAACGACTGTGGCTAGTATTAGTTGGTCCTTTTTATATACTTCACAGGAGAGAAGGCACGCTTCACAAAGTCTCAGTGATCACGTAATTATGAGGGGTCAATAACTATTAATAAAACATAGGAAGTTTAGCATAGTAAGTACACGTGGAAGTATCAAGGTGAACGTGTTACAACCGTCGATTATGCAATAAGTAACACTGTTATTCTCTGGTCACCACACCTTCAAAAGACCCAGAGTGAAAATCCATCGGAGGGAAGTGAGGACGTTTTAACGCAGCTCTCCACGGTCCTCCACGAGTATCCAGTGACATATGGTTCCCGCATAGGGCACTATGTTTACAAGAATGAATGTATATTAGTGTAAAATGCTGTATTTACTAGAATCACTATTTAGGGATTGAATAACTCAGCAGACCAAATAAGCTGGTTAAAAAAAGTTAAGCTTCAATAATGTCGCCAAATTGTACAAGTAATGGAATGGCAGAGTAGATTTAACTTGAGTAAGTGATAGCACGCACAAGATAATGACGAAGTGCGAAGGAGTTTCAGCACGTACGTGAAAATAACTGTGAATAAGTCGAATAAAATAAAAAGAAGACTATAAGTGGAGAGAAAATTCCGATTTTAAGTTAAGACAATGAATAGGTAGACCACGATAACGAGCAGTGTTACGTTAAGAATTGGAAAGGAGAGTGAGATCAAAGGTTAGAATAGATATAATAAAGAAAAACAATCGAAGATAGATTGTGAGTTCATAGCGCCAGCGTGTAGCCCCACCTGACAAACATGTAAGAAAATTTAGAAGATCGATGGTATCACTAGATTGGTCTATTTGTAAGAGGGAACTCAATAAATTCTTCAATAGAGGTCCTGAAAGCCGGATGTGGTGCTACGTTGGGCTGGAGCACCACCAGAAGTACCGATCAGGTCAGCAACCTAGGAGAGAGCTGGTCTGGGACCGGGCCTAAGAGGCGAAGTAAATGGAGAGGTGAAGGAAATATCCGAGAATTGTTTAAAGTAATGGTTACTACTGCACGTTAATCAAGGAAAGACACCTGCAGAAGAAAGTTTCTGGGACGTTATCGCACTGTGAAGAAATCTGACAAGTCGTTTTACTTTAAGGAATGGGAATGGATATGAAGAAGGCGAGTGATAGCAGGTTAAGAGTGGAGTAAGTGGAGGCGAGTGTTAGCAGTTAAGTGGAGTAAGTGGAGGCGAGTGTTAGCAGGTTAAGAGTGATAAGTGGGAGCGAGTGTTAGTAGTTAAAGTGGAGTAAGTGGAGCGAGATGTTAGCAGGTTAGAGTGGATAAGTGAGGCGAGTGTTAGCAGGTTAGAGTGGAGTAAGTGGAGGCGAGTGTTAGCAGGTTAAAGAGGGATAAGTGCAGGTAGTGTTAGCAGGTTAGAGTGGAGTAAGTGGAGGTGAGGTGTTAGCAGGTTAGAGTGGAGTAAGTGGAGGGAGTGTTAAGCGGTTAAATGGAGTAGGGAGTGTTTCAGCAGGTTAAGTGGAGTAAGTGGAGTGAGTGATTAGCAGGTTAAAGAGATAAATGGAAGTGAGTGTTAGCAGGTTAAGTGGAGTAAGTGGAAGCGAGTGTTAGCAGGTTAGAGTGAGTAAGTGGAGGCGAGTGTTAGATTAGAGCGAGTAAGTGAGGAGTTAGCTGGTTAGGAGGTAAGGGGAGCGAGTGTTAGCAGGTTAGAGTGGAATAAGTGGAAACGAGTGTTAGCAAGTTAGAGTGGAGTAAGTGGAGGCGAGTGTTAGCAGGTTAGAGTGGAGTAAGTGGAGGTGAGTGTTAGCAGGTTAGAGTGGAGGAAGTGGAGGCGAGTGTTAGCAGGTTAGAGTGGAGTAAGTGGACGCTAGTGTTAGCAGGTTAGAGTGGAGTAAGTGAACGCGAGTGTTAGCAGGTTAAAGTATAGTAAGTGGAGACAAGTGATAGCAGGTTAAAGTGGAGTAAGTGGAGGCATGTGTTAGCAGGTTAAGGAGGAATAAATGGAAGTAAGTGTTAGCAGGTTAAAGTGGAGTAAGTGAAGGTAAGCGTTAGAAGGATAAAGTGGAGGCAAGTGTTAGCATGTTAAAGTGGAGTAAGTGCAGGGGAGTGTTAGCAGGTTAAAGAGGAGTAAGTGGAGGCAAGTGATAGCAGGTTAAAGAGAAATAAATGGAGGCAAGTGTTAGTAGGTTAAAGTGAAGAAAGTTGAGGCAAGTGATAGCAGGTTAAAGAGGAATGAATGGAGGCAAGTGTTAGCAAGTTAAAGTAGAGTAAATGGAGGGGAGTGATAGCAGGTTAAAGAGGAATAAATGGAGGTAAGTGTTAACATGTTAAAGTGGAGTTAGTGGAGGCAAGTGATAGCAGGTTGAAGAGGAATAAATGGAGGCAAGTGTTAGCAAGTTAAAGTGGAGTAAGTGGAGGGGAATGATAGCAGGTTAAAGAGGAATAAATGGAGGTAAGTGTTAGCAGGTTAAAGTGAGTAAGTGGAGCAAGTATAGAGGTTAAAGAGGAATAATGGAGGCAAGTGTAGCAAGTAAAGTGGAGTAAGTGGAGGAGGATAGAGGTTAAAAGAATAAATGGAGGAAGTGTTAGCAAGTTAAAGTGGAGTAAGTGGAGGGGAGTGATAGAAGGTTAAAGAGGAATAAATGGAGGTAAGTGTTAATAAGTTAAAGTGGAGTAAGTGGAGGTGAGTGGTAGCAGGTTAAAGAGGAGTAAGTGGAGGCAAGTGTTAGCAGGTTAAAGTGGAGTAAGTGGAGGCAAGTGTTAGCAGGTTAAGAGGAAAAATGGAGGTAAATGTTTGGAGGTTAAAGTGGAGTAAGTGGAGGTAAGTGTTAGCAGGTTAAGAGGAATAAATGGAGGTAAATGTTAGCAGGTTAAAATGGAGTAAGTGGAGGTAAGTGTTAGCAGGTTAAGGCGGAGTAAGTGGAGGCAAGTGTTAGCAGATTAAGGCGGAATAAGTGGAGGCAAGTGTTAACAGGTTAGGAGGAATAAATGGAGGTAAATGTTAGCAGGTTAAAGTGGAGTAAGTGGAGGTAAGTGTTAGCAGGTTAGAGTAGAGACAAATGGTATTGCTAATATATGATATTCAAGCCATGAGTAAGCAAAGTGATATAAATAAAAAAATGATTCAGAAAAATAGATGGATCTGAGTTCTGAGAGGAATAAAAAAAATAAATTGTGAAGTTGTTACGGTTTGGTGAGTCACTGAAGCGTTATGTTCATGATGTTTCTGAAGGAAAGCTGGAAAAATGAGTAATGGAGAATACATGTCATTCTCCTGGTTAGCCTTCCCGAGACGTCACTGGTACTGATACCTGCTGCTGCACTCACTACGGTGAAGGAATTAACAAAGTTTTAGTTCGCCTCTTCTGATTTCTCTCAGATCTTCAACGATAATATTAAACTACATGAATAACTAAAGAAATTGTAATGGATACCTGTCAGTGTTTATAATAACACACTTATGGATACAGAAACTCAGGAAATTAATTTTCTTAGTTTCTTAATTTTCAAATTGTGCCACATTCAGCATTTTTGCAGTCGCGTGCATTGAGGACTAAGAGGTTACTTTCTTCGGTACAGAGAATGTGTCCAGAAGACGACTCTTCAGAGGAAGTTAATTTGAACATCCAAGAGGCAGATGATTGGGACTCCCCCACATTAGCCAAACTTAGAAATTGCTTTTATAATATACGAGGTGAAAGGCTAAAAACCGATGGTGTTTAAGATTAGAGAGACCAGAACAATGGAACCATAGATAAAAGGTAAATGTTTATGGGAGCCGCAGAGATGCGAAGAAATTCTTCAGTGTAGATTGGATAACCTTTGAAGAAGTTGTGGAAACAAACTTCATTCATAAACTCAGAACTATATATAATAGATGAGAAGTGGCTAGGGATCAGTTGCTTAGAAGGTTATGAGTTTAACTACTTATCTTTGAATAAATAAAAATGAATAAATGAAATTATACGTCCTGTTTACTCTAACCCCTTTATAAGTTAATTTTAAGGCTGTCTGAAATACTTTGCATAACAAGTCTTATGAAGTAGATTATATATGTTAATTACTCCCATGTCAATTGCATACTCTACTCCACTTTATAGAAATAAAGTTGCTTGTGCGTTTGTTCTCATTTCCGTCTTCTTGATATATCTCACATATGATCATCTTATGTGTAATGTATTTATGTCGTGAAGGAAGAGAAGCATTGTGTGTATAAGGTTAGTTGATATACCTTGTATAACCAGTACGAATTATGAAATGCCAGGAGAACGGTTGGACTTTGGATTAGTTAAGTTTGATACGGGGAAGGATAAGGCAGATGCAGTTCCGTCAAGAGATCTTTTTCCGACTGTTAATGTACCTACCTGGAAGGGGTAAGTATTTACGGACGCTGATTGTTAGTCTCAGGAAGCTCACTATCAGGAACAATGAGTGAAATATGTGAATGGTGGTAGTTGTATTATTTAATTTATTTTCAATTAAGGGTCGTAAAGAGAGATCTGGCCTTATAATTTCGATCCTCGATCTTGAAATTGTTACATGTGTTTTGGTCGCTTACATGTTTATATGTTGGGGAAAATAATATTTGTTCTAGTTCCTTTTTTCAAAATAACACAGGATATATACCCTGAGGGGGTTAAATTTAAAAGCGTATATATACTGAGAGTTTAATATATTCTATAAAATAAGTATTAAAGTATTCTTGTCTGTTGGTGAAGATTACGTGTAGTCAGTAGGTTTTTAAAGCCCATTAACCAACTAGCCTTTTAAAATATTTACTTTCATTTATTAAAGATGATAACTTTTATGGGGGAACAATAAAAGTTCTTTAAAAAATGCTTGCTATTATATTTATCATGTTTTATGTCGACATTGGAAACAGAATAGAGAGTTGTCAGTTATGTGTGTTCAGCCTCCGTATCCATAGCCTCCGTATCCTCTCCCGAAGCCTCCGAAGCCACCATAGCCTCCAAAGCCACCAAAGCCACCGTAGCCTCCGTAGCCCAGACCACCTAAGTAACCGGGATCAGCTTCAGGCTTAGCGTCGGCCTTAGGGCTGGCATCAGCGCTCCTTTTTCCCCGATAAATTCCATAGGGAGAATATCCACCACCATAGCCTCCGTAGCGTCCGTAGCCTCCGTAGCCTCCGTAGCCACCATAGCCCCCAAAGCCTCCAAAACCTCCCAGGAAACCAGGCTCAGCATCTGGGGAAGGTGCAGCTCTGGTGGCAGCCAAGCAGAGGGCGGCCAGGAAGGCAACAATAACCTATTGGATAACATAAATGACAGTTTACTTGGGATTATAATTAACAGATATTTAGTATAGTTAAGCAGTGTATTAAAGAAAATTCTATATGCAATGTTTAATATGTTGTTAATCCTGATTAAATTATCGTATTTTATAGTTTCAAAAGTATTCAGGTCCAGCTTCTATATTTGCCAGCAACAATTAACCACAGCAACTCTTTGAATATAGGAGACCACGAGAGAAAAGAGTAACTTACCAAGGTCTTCATTGTTCCGGTGGTTCTCAGCGTCCACTCTGGCTAGTATGTAGTTGGTTCCTTCTTTTATACTTCTCAGGAGAGGGGCACGCCCACACAGTCTCAGTAATCACGTATTATGAAGGTCAGATAACTATTAATAAAACACAGCAAGTTTAGCATAGTAAGTACACGGCGCAAGGTATTAAAGGTGAACGTGTCACACCGTCGATTATGCGAATGTGTAAAACTGAATTTTCTCTGCGTCTACCAACACCTTCAAAAGACCCCTGAGGTGAAAATCCATCGGAGTGAAGTGAGGCTTTTAACCAGCTACTCCACAGGTCCTCCACGTTGTATCCAGTGACCATATGGTATCCGACATAGGGGACACTATGTTTACAAAACGAAGTGTATATCTTAGTGTATACATGCTGTATTTACTTGAATCACTATTTTAGGGATTAGAATAAAGTCCAGCAGCACGAAATCAAGCTGGTAAAAAAAAGCTTAAGATTCAAATAATTGTCACTATATTAGTACAAGAAATGACTGCGAGAGGAGACTTAAGGTACTCTTAGCAGAGTTCATAGCAAACACTGTGTACACCTAGATGAATACACAGACACACACACACATACACATACCAGCGAAGAGGCGGGGCCAGGAGGTGTGAATCGATCCATGCCGCCCCAAAAGGGTGAGTATATCTAGGTGAGTACCCCCACACACAAAAGCACACACAAAAGAAACTAATTCTGACGTCCCTTGAAGAGAGGAGGCTGTAGAGAAAGATAATGATGTATAAAATATTTAGACTAACTGATAGTACCGATAAGGACTGATTATTTATAACTCGAAAGCAAGTACATGGCGACATCAGTGAAGGTTAAAACGACACGAGTAACAGGGATGTTAGGAAGTACTTTTTCAGTCTCAGGGTAGTGAGGAATTGGAATCAATTGGATGTAGAGGTGGCTGAGGTACATTTCACACAATTCCTTAACTGTATGTATGACAAAGATTCACTAGGTCAGAAACCAGTAGTGTCGGTCAATGAAACTTAAGATTTGGGTCCAGGAGCTAAGCCTGGGCGACCCTCCACTCCAACAAACACAAATTTGTGAGTACCTGTTCTTCCGCTTCCTTCTTGCTGAAAATGATACACTTCCGTTAAATTAAAGTATAAAATTAGCCACCAGAACAAAATCCTCCAGTTACACCCACGACGGTTCAAGAACATTACATTAACATTACAAGTAAAGCGAATTTTGTCGTTTTCGGGTTTTTATCTATAAGAGAGGGGAAATATTGATTTATTTTTTAAGTGTTTGCTAATTATGAGTCAGTTGTATTTCCTAGTACTTGTTTGTTTAAATTCTTAATTGTTACAGAAAACAAATGACTGATAATGATCAGATGTTCAAAGCCGCTGTCCTGTCAGCCTAAACCACTACTACTACTATCGTAAACCTTAACTACTGCTAACTACCTTAAACCACTACTACTGCTAACTACCTTAAACTACTACTACTGCTAACTACCTTAAACCACTACTACTGCTAACTACCTTAAACCACTACTACTGCTGATTACCTAAAACAACTACTACTGCTAACTACCTTAAACCACTACTTCTGTTAACTACCTTAAACCATTATTACTAACTACCTTAAACCACCACTACTGCTATCTTAAATCACTACTACTGACTACCTAAACCAGTACAAATGGCCACCTAAACCACTGAAACTATCCATCTACTCCACTTCTGCTAATCACCTAAACTACTACTATTGACCACCTAAACCACTACTACTGACCACCTAAACCACTACTACTGACCACCTAAACCACTACTACTGACCACCTAAACCACTACTACTGACCACCTAAACCACTATACTGACCACCTAAACCACTATTACTGACCAACTGAACCACTATTACTGACCCTAAAGCCACTACTACTGACCACCTAAACCACTATTACTGACCAACTGAACCACTATTACTGACCAACTAAGCCACTACTACTGACCACTTAAACCACTACTACTGACCACCTAAACCACTATTACTGACCACCTAAACCACTATTACTGACCAACTGAACCACTATTACTGACCAACTAAGCCACTACTACTGACCAACTGAACCACTATTACTGACCAACTAAGCCACTACTACTGACCAACTAAGCCACTACTACTGACCAACTAAGCCACTACTACTGACCAACTGAACCACTATTACTGACCAACTAAGCCACTACTACTGACCAACTGAACCACTATTACTGACCAACTAAGCCACTACTACTGACCAACTAAGCCACTACTACTGACCAACTAAGCCACTACTACTGACCAACTGAACCACTATTACTGACCAACTAAGCCACTACTACTGACCACTTAAACCACTACTATTGACCATCTACACTACTACCCCTGACTACTTTTATATAAATAATGCTTCACTATCCTCTTAATTAAGAACAATGAGTTCAGTTGAAAGTGCCACTGTCAGTGTCAATCACAATATCACTATCAACTTATGTGACAACATCGGTGTTAATATTTGTCAATATCTATATTTATCCTAGGTAGAAGGTTGGTAGACAGCAACCACCCAGGGAGGTACTACCGTCCTGCCAAGTGAGTGTAAAACGGAAGCCTGTAATTGTTTTACATGATGGTAGGATTGCTGGTGTCTTTTTTTTCTGTCTCATAAACATGCAAGATTTCAGGTACATCTTGCTACTTCTACTTACACTTAGGTCACACTACACATACATGTACAAGCATATATATACACACCCCTCTGGGTTTTCTTCTATTTTCTTTCTAGTTCTTGTTCATGTTTATTTCCTCTTATCTCCATGGGGAAGTGGAACAGAATTCTTCCTTCGTAAGCCATGCGTGTTGTAAGAGGCGACTAAAATGCCGGGAGCAAGGTGCTAGTAACCCCTTCTCCTGTACATATTACTAAATTTAAAAGGCGAAACTTTCGTTTTTTCTTTTGGGCCATCCTGCCTCGGTGGGATACGGCTGGTGCGTTGAAAGAAAGAAGAAAGATCTATATTTATGTCAATCATAATATCAGTGTCAACATATGCGTCGATATGTGTCAAAATAATTAATATGAATACATTCACGGGAAAGTGCTAGTGTTACGAAATGCTTATAACAATAATCATAATTTTTAAAAGGGTGGACTGGTAAGCCAGCAGAAGACCTCGGTCAGATGACCAGAAGCTCCAGTGGCGGGTCATCATATGACTAAGACCCGCATCAGGAAACACTTGTCCTGCTTCCTGACAAACATTACCTAACCGCAGAGACCATACAATACCTAGGAAATGTGGGGTAATAAGGTCTGAAGCAGGAAAAGAGAAGACAGATCCAGTCCCTTGAATCATGAGCTATTCATCAGTATCAAGGTACCGTCCTTGGAGAGCAGACACTCTGAATACAGATGAAAAAATATTATAAATTCCTCGTTAAATGCTGTACGTTGGTGGCGGTCACCGCCTTGACTCTTGGTGGTTACTACCTTAACCCAAATTACCCATTGTTATATACACTGTATAAATGTTTATATTTAACACCTGGGTTGGTTCCTCATCAAAACAGGGTGACCGAATGATACACACACACACGCTTTTCTTTTTTCCAGATGTATGCGAACATTACTTTCCAACCGACGACACTACAGTTGTTAATGGTAAGGTGATCCTGACACACTGAGGAAAAGGACACTGGTGTACACTGCAGGGTAGTTGTTAAAGGAAAACAGTCTGGGTGAAACATATATATATATATATATATATATATATATATATATATATATATATATATATATATATATGGTGCCGAATAAGTAAAATTGGTCAGTGAGCAAGAACTCATTTAAAATTTAGTCCTGTCTAAAATTTTCTCTTAAATGTTTAAAAATAGATTTTTTCATTTATGTTAATGTAAAAATTAATAATTTTGTACCAAAAGAACCTTAGAAAATTTACCTAACCTTATTATAACAAGCAGAATTTAATTTTGCCTTAACGCAATAAATTATATAATATAAATATATATATATAAATTATATTATAATAATATAATATAAATATATATTATATATATTATATAATATATATAATTTATCTATATATATTAATATATATATTATTATATATATATATTATATATATAATAATATATATATTATTATATATATATATATATATATAAATATATATTGTATATATATTATATATATTTATATATATATATATATATATTATATATATATATATATATATATATATATATATATATATATATATATATATATTATATATATAATATATATATATATATATATATATATACTCTATATTATATATATATATATGTATATAATATTATATATCTATATAATATATATATATATATAAATAATATATATTATATATATATATATAATTATAATATATATATAATTTTTATTATATAATGATATATTATGTATATATATTACTATATTATATTATATATAATATATATATATATATATATATAAAATGTATAAATATATATTATATATATATATTATATATATATATATATATATATATATATATATATATATATATATATATATATATATATATAAAATGTATAAATATATATATATATAAAATGTATAAATATATATATATATATATATATATATATATATATATATATATATATATATATTTATATATATATATATATATATATATATATATATATATTCACACAGGTACAGATCCAGAGAATTAAATTCTTTTACCGCCATTCTTCCTGCTTCACCCCTACAACTGGCAACATATAATTAAAAAAAATATTCTTTCACAACGCTAATTATACGAAACCTAAAAAACAGAGAATAGTTATTGTTGTGTGGCCTTGAAAACATGCGAGTACTGAGTGGCTGTGGGTGTTTCTCCTACGGGTATAAAAGTAGGAGCCACCTCAAGCAGGCCACAGTCGACGCTGAGAACCACCAGAATAATGGAGAATTTGGTGAGGTTTCACTTATTCTCTTATTTTCTTAAGTTTACCAGAGCCTTGACGAAATTGGAGAGGTATCCCTTACGCTCTTAGTTTAAAATATAAGTGTTTTGAAGCTCTAGATCATAAGAAATTAAGTTAACAACTACGTACTTTAATTCAACAGGTCACTGCTGCCATCCTGGCTGCCTTCTGCTTGGCTGCCACCAGCGCTGCACCTTCCCCAGATGCCGAGCCTGGTTACTTAGGAGGTTTCGGAGGCTTTGGAGGCTTTGGTGGCTACGGAGGCTATGGAGGCTACGGTGGCTATGGTGGTTATTCTCCCTATGGATTTTATCGGGGAAAAAGGAGCGCTGATGCCAGCCCTAAGGCCGTTGCTAAGCCTGAAGCTGATCCCGGTTTCTTAGGAGGTTTGGGCTACGGAGGCTACGGAGGTTTTGGAGGCTATGGAGACTATGGAGGCTATGGAGGCTACGGTGGCTATGGTGGTTATTCTCCCTATGGATTTTATCGGGGGAAAAGGAGCGCTGATGCCAGCCCTAAGGCCGTCGCTAAGCCTGAAGCTGATCCCGGTTTCTTAGGTGGTCTGGGCTACGGAGGCTACGGTGGTTTTGGAGGCTATGGTGGCTATGGTGGCTTTGGAGGCTTCAGGGGAGGATATGGAGGCTACGGATACTACGGCTGAACATCTGTATATATCAACACTTATTAATGTATTCTTACTATCAATCTCGATTGAAACCTTAAATAAATAGAGCAAACATATCAAGTATATTTATTTGATCCTTTTCAAGTTTTATCAAGGGTAAAGAACTGAGAATTTATATTTTTTTCATAAAAAACTGTCTCAACAGAAAATCATTGAACTAGGAAGCCAGAGGTTATACTTCTGAATCATTTATCTAACCTGACATCAGTCTCACTGCTGAAAAACTCCTCTAACGAATTGGAAATATATCAGAGTTATCTTTTGAATAAGTTACAAAAAATATTTTTACAGTTCAATTAAAATATATATATATATATAATATATATATATATATATATATATATATATAATATATATATAATATATATATATAAATAGATATATATATATATATATATATTGTCGTGCCGAATATGTAAAACTGGCAAATTAGCAAGAACTCACTTAAAATTAAGTTCTTTCTAAAATTTTCTCTTATACATTTAAAGATATATTTTTTTCATTAATGTTAATGTAAAAAATTTATAATTTTGCACCAAAAGGAACTTAGAAAACTTACCTAACCTTATCATAACAAGCGCAATTTATATTTAGCCTAACCCAACTAAATATATTTTAGATTTGTTTACAATAATTTAATACTAAACAAACACAGTGGAATATATTTTTTTCGTTAGGTTCAGAATGATTTTGGCGAAATTATTGCATACACAAATTTTAGCTTGTCCTATATGGCAGGATGAGCGTTGCTTTTTAAGCCAAGATCGCAAGTTCTGCCTATTCGGCACGACATATATATATATATATATTATATATATATATATATATATATATATATATATATATATATATATATATATATATATATATATATATACATACATACAATAAATGGCTTCAGGAAGAAATCCAATTCGCAAATGGGCGAAATTATTTACAAATATTATCACAGTCCTCCAGCAGGATTCGAACCTGCTCACTCTGCATCTTAGATAAGTATGGGCGTCTAGCCGAAGATCTGTGCATATGGCAGCATTTGATGTAATAATTTTTCAGAAGCCTGGTGTTCCGGGGTATGAGAGTAACCGTCTAGCCTCAGCTAGGAGCCCATACTTATCTAGGATCTGCCTGTCTGGGTGTAGAGTGTATGTAGAGTGGGTGACAAGTGTATGTCACGTTGTTTGCAAGTGTAACAGAATGAAGAACATTCAAGTTTAATATCCAGAAGGCATTTATAAACAGTATGGGCCATACTGGTGGTGTGGGTAGGGGTGTACAGTTATAGAGGTTAGTGTACGTGTTGGGTAATACCTAAAGGATGGGCTTGTGCCAAGATAATGTAATATCAGGTATTATCATTAGCTTCATCCTAGATCGTAAAAGTCTGCAATAAGGGGTACATAGTAAAACGACCTTTACATAACCCAAACTGGTGAAGAGGTAGAGAGTTTCGGATTACTAAGTCATAATATGCTCTTGTTAACCAAGCGTTCCAGCAACTGAAAAATAGCGCTAGTAAGAGCGATGTGGAGACATTTTATATAATGTATACCTGAGGACCTGGGAAGTGCAGATATTTCTGCGAAGAGGTGGTGAGGATATATATTCTGTCTATACAGCGTGCCACAGGAGGAACACTAACTAAAACGGTATAGCGTGTTAAAGTGCAGGCTTGATGGAAATGAAAAGTAATGATAACTGAAAAAATGGTTGCCGTCCTGGAAATCACTATGGAAGTAAAACATAGAGGAAGATTATAAAAGAGAGAATACGGGTGCGGTTATCTGGATGTTTTTGGGTACCGGTGTTTAAGACATGTAGAGATAAAGCGAGGGAAAACTTAACTGATACCCACGAAAGTCGTAGCGAGATCTCGTCCTAGAGCAAATGGCGAGTGTTATAATCAATTACTAAAAGGTCTGGTATAAATAACGATGAAGTCAGAAAATGTGTTAGGTTAAGACAGTGATCGTATCGGGACGATACAACGCTCAGACCATGATCAAGACACTGGCTACAGTACAGTGCTTGATTCTTCAAGGGTTGTATGGTCCCGTGGGTTAGAGCGTCGTGGAATTTTCGCTGGCCATGAGGCAGGCTAAAACAACACGGGATCGAATCTTCGGCTAGTCGCAGTGTTGTTATTGATTAAATACCACTTGTTCAAGTATTTATATAAATGCATACATGCATATCGTGAAATATCCTAAAATTAATGAAAATTCTAGGACATACAGAAATAAGCGTCTAAGTGCTTCACTTTTCAACTGCTGTCATGTCGAGTGTAGCATGAACCTCATGTGTAATGGAAAGGCGAAGTGCAAGTGAAAGACTCCAGATATTCTGGTGTGCGCAGACACGCATGCTAGACAATTGAAAAAGCGCTACTGATCCTCAGTCTTCTCTTCTTGAAAGCTTGCAGTGGGCTTTTAAGAAGGCATTACAGTGTGACCAGGAAATATTCTTATGAAATTAGTATATGACTACTCAGGTAAATAAGAGAGTCGCATGTAGTTTCTGATGCGAGGAATTTAGTTTTTAGTGGTGTCCTGTTGTAGTCATGAATCTTGACAACGGTGTGTCTGTTTATTGTGGAGCATTTTACACGCACAAGTTACAAAAAATTTTGAGGTTAATTACAGTATGAATGTTCTACAAATAGGTTTCTCAATTTCATATAAAAATTAAAAATTTGAAAAGTTCGGCATTTTATTTCGGCGAGGATTTTAATGACTCAAAACTAGGACTTATTTTTACCAGTGGTCGTATAAAACGATTTTTTTGTAATGTTTATAGTGATATTTACATAGATTGAAAAAATATCAAATTGAATACAGGTTCAAATGTAATTACTAAAGTAAATGAATGCAAAAAAAACGTGATATATGCAACACAGATCAGCAGTTTTTCGTTATACCAAGAGCAATTATAATAAAATTTTTGGAAGTGGTATTTTCCTCATATCAAAATGCAACTACAGAAGATAAATCTTTGAAATGACTTTAATTGCTTCACGTCCCAATTTCAAAATCAAGTCGGTGGAGACAGGAAGCCTTGTAATCACTACTTTCCTCACCTTACTGTTTCTTCTGCTACTTTGTTAATCTGCTGAAGCCTCAATTGATGGCTGACATTTACAGCCCACTGTTTATTTTGCTTTGTTACGTCTTGTGTGTGTGGATGTTGGTTTGTGCTTCAGATCCTGAAACCTCTCGGGTCCCAGAGTACAGATTTTCTTGTATCCTGAATTATCAAGTCAATTCAGACAGAGGAACAATAGCATTGTGAATGCACTAACACGGATAAAATCGAATGACATAGACTCATCCTGTGACAATGAAAATAAGTCACATGGTTTTGCTTATTTTAATACACGACCATTATCGAAGACAAAATTAATAAAGAATGAGTGAAATAAAAAGAGAAGTAGTTTCAGTTTTTATTTATTTAACACTGCAATGTGAGTTTCTGTTTTATTAACATGTTAATAAATTTGTTTTTTCAAAAACAACGCGAGTTCTGTTAGTTAATAATAGTGATACAGTGAAAGAATGTATATAAGACACAATGTGGCTTATGACATTTTATTTTGAAGATGTTTCGTCAACCAAATATCACTATTTTATTTTAAGCCAATCATTAGTAGGCCCGTGTGGCTCTGATGAGATTAGATAAGTGTTTTGATTCAAGACATATAGACTGAACAGTCATTAAGGACACACTATAATATGTTAATTGCCTTCACTTCTACATGAATCTTCAACAGAATTAGAGGGTAAAATGTGCTCTACTTGTACAAACAATGAGCAGCACACCACTGTGTATACATTCCATGTGACATCACTATGAAATTAAATAAACTACAGTACATTTTTCTTTGATTCACACAACGTCAGGAGAAGACTGGAGGACTATGTACATGTTTAAATCACACGATATAACTATTTGCTTTAAATTCACCCCTGACAATTAGTTTATTAGGTTTGATGGCGATCCCCTCCCTCTTTCAGGGTGCAGGCTTTGTACTTCCTACCTAATTCCTTCATAATTGTTACCTACACAAGAAGATTATAGATTAGAATAAAATGAGGATGTGAGAATGGGGATAAATAAGTCTATGCGATTAGAGATGGGAGTTTAGATTTATGTGATAGATTTGGGGAAGTGTTCAACAATTTGAGGGACTTTTGAAACACTTGAGGGAATAGTAGTTGTGGCAGACCAGTAAAGTTGTAGTGGAAGTGTGTGCTGGTGAGAGAATAGCAGTACATTTAAAGTGCGATGAATGAACGAGTGGTACCATCCCTTATATTCTATATTCTATGTAGACTTCATTTAAAAACAAAATACATTGACAAAAATACAATAGTAAGTAAAACAACATAGATAACACCTCAGAGCAACATCTCGAATACTTCGTCCAGTCCCCGGCGGTGGACCGCGTGCTGAGAATGCTGCAGGCATTTCCCCGTCTGTATCGCAACACGGAGTCTCTGAAAGAGGAAGCTGGCCGCTCTGTGATCCTTGGTTTCTGTGATGAGTTCTTCACCCAGTTCTTTGAGGAACTTTAAGAACACATTTGCCCCATGCTCCAAGGGTCTCCGACGATACTGGGATGAAGTCATAGCAAGGGGAGAGGCTTTCATGTTTGTAGGTCTTCTGGGTCCCCCTGTAGCTGGTGGCTCCACCCCTTTCAACTTCAGAGTATGGCAAGTAGGTGTCTGCCAGTTTGGCGGCACAGGTGCAGTCCCAGGCAATCTTCTTACCATCCTTCCAAGGTAGCATAGTGGCTCAATCAGGACGCTTTTGACTTCCGTCAGACCTATGTACTCGGGGTTCCCGTTGAGCTGGGCAACGGGCTGTGGCGAGGCTTCTCTTTATGACGTCATTGACCTCCTTATGTCTAGAATACTTCCCTTCTGATATGTGATACACGAGACCATGAAGTCCGAACTGATCAGCCGTTGCCCTGCCGCAAATACACCTATGTTCGGTGAGTATGGAGGCGGCTAGGCGAAGAGCAACAACAATCCGAATGGCCTGTGGGTGGAGTCGA